TTTCATGGACTAACTTCTTTACCCGCATTCGCCCGTAATGTGGGAACCCTTGCTTATTTAACACTACACCCGGGCGCCGGTGTAGCGGCCCTTGCACACTTTTCACTGTATTCAGGCTATACAGCGCGTCGCTTCCAGGGGACGCCCTAGCACTTACACAATGATCAAAAGAATTCATGTCATGATTTTTTCGACAAGTTTTACGCTGGTTGTCGACTACCTAACGCAACCCTCCAAAACCGTAGCCACCAAACAAATATTATAAATAACTTAAATCAATTAATTACCTTAGTTAAGTCAATGATAAAATTTAAATTTGAAAAATATAAAATATTTGCATCAGTTAGATGCATTGCATACCAAACATGTTTAGGCTACTTGATTTTGTACGATCAAGTTATAAGACATACTTCCTCTTTCTAATAATCAACAACTCAGACTATATTGTATTCATATGATTGGATCTCATGATTTTAAAATGCTTATGAGGTTTAGTTGATAGTACTTTCCAGACATAAGTAGGACTTAATCCAGTCCTTTGTAGAATTGAAATAGAAATTATTTTCTTGCATTTCATTAAATTAGGGTTTGAAGTTCTACTTAGTAAACGTCACCTTTTGTCTTATATTTTGAGGTTCTACTTATTAAACCTCATATTCTAGGCTTTATCATGATTTGTTAATGTTGAAAAAAGCTGTAACTTTATATTAAAAGGATCAACTTAAATAAATAAATCTTTCAATTTCAAAATCATTAAAGCCCAATCATAGAATAGTGAAAGTGCTACTTAGTTTTCTCGGTATTTAAGTGCTTCTTAAGTTTTCTTCTTTGGACTCCAAAAAGAACTGTTCTAAAATAAATTATCTCAATTGAAATTTTGAATAGCAATCTCGGAAAACTTAATATTGTTTTGGAGACTTAACCATAACATTAAGAATAGCAATCTCGGAAAACTTAATATTGTTTTGGAAACTTAATCTCGAAAGTATTTGTAAAAGATTCAATCTTCTAATATATAACTTAATATTGTTTTGCTCTTATAGGAAACTTATAAACCAGGTTAATATAAACAATATCTAACCTCTAGGTTAATAGAAGAAAAATCTAGTGGTTAACGCAGACCTATCAAATTTGTATGAAAATTTTTATTTGAGAGATTGAGTCAATTGTAGAGTAGTTTTTACATATTTTGAGATGGTATACTTTTGATGTTGTGTTTGACTGCCCAAAAACATAAAAATATTCAAAATTTATTGGAAGCACAAAATAAACCAACATAATCATTGACAAAAATAAATGTAAGGAAAAGTAAAGCTACAAAATTAAAAATAGTAAGAGCACCTTTGGGAAAACCAAACATAATCAATGTTTCTGAAAATTTGATTCATTCAGTAAAGAATCAAACAAGAATAATTCAGATCTGTAGTCTATGATTTCAAGCATATAATGAAATCAAAGCAGACCTTTACCCTCATTCAACAACAGATGCTTGTGATGATGGGCGATTGACCAAAGCAAAAAACAATGAAAAATCCAGAAACGACTTATAAGAAGGATTGATTGCAGATGAACATCTCATCATTCAAGCAATAAGCCAATGAATGTTGTGGCAAGCAAGAAGAGGACCCAGATGAGAATCTTGAGCTCTCTTTCGAACAGTGGCACCAAACTTTAAAAGTAGAAACCAAGATATATTCACCTTCGACAGTTACATTGACAAAAAGAAGATTGATGCATACGTGAATCAAACCCAAAACCTATTTTAATCTCCAAGGGATTCTTCTCAATAGAAGATCTTGTACACCTTCCTAAAAATCACCAAGTATGTGCTGATCTGGTGGAACGCTCATCTCAAACAAGGGCAGCAAATATTTCGAAGGAGCAATTCATTAAGTGGGTCTAACAAGAATTATAGCCTACGGGTAAAAAAAAGAAAAGATGTGGAAAGTGGTCTGAGTTGTAGTGCTAACATGAACAAACCATGCAAGAATAAGGCATAGAGTTCAGAAGATGTGTACTGATGATTGGTGCATTGTTATATAAGTCTTTAAGAATTATATGAATGGACTACATTACGTCATCTCTAATAAATTTTGCTCTTCTCCATCAAAAACCTCAATCACTCGAGTAAGTTTGTCATGGTCATTGAAAGAAATAGCAAAACTCAAGGCAGCAAACCCTTTAATGACAAATAGAGAGAGAAAAAAAAATCAAAAAGTAGAATTAAGAAAAAATAAAATTGATAAAAATAATTTTACAAAAATTACTTGTTTTATAAATATTAGGGGAGGGTTGAAAAATCAAACCAATTACTTCTGGACCATTCAAGACACTCAAAAAGATTTGGAACAACACATTCCAGTTGACATTGCCCGCCTATATGGATACAAACTTCGTGGTGAATGTGGAAAACCTAAATTTATTAGACCTTTCAATGATGAATAACGTTGTGGAGGAAGTTCTATCCCCTTTCAACAGCAAACCAATGGGCCAAGAGAATCAAATAGGGTAGAGCCAGCCATTAAAGAAGAGTAACATGAAGAACCTCTGCAATAGCAAGAAATAAAAAGAATATCTTTCAGCATTATGAAGAGGTATCGATGTTATTTTTATGAAATGCATGCCCTAGAATATTACGCATAAAATTAACAAACTATGAAAGATATACATTTTCCTCACAACAAGGCAATGAAGGTCTTCTTCAGTACAAGCGAAGAGGTTATACAGAAGAAAGAAGAGAAATGGAATTGTTAGGGCAAGAAGAGGAAGCAAGCTTTCATGACCAGAGTATGCTTTATTTTGATTAAGAGTGGAAATCTCCAGAAGGCAACAAACTGAAGACAGAGCAGAAACTCCGAATCATCCTTTTGACTGTCTTCAACAGAAAATTTCAGCAGTGCGGAAAAGGAAAGCAAAATACACTTGGTCGAAAAAATCCAGGAAAAAAACAGATAAGAAATTATACAAGCAACCATTAGTTCCATGTAAATTGATCCCAGCATAATTCAGTAAGGAATGAAGAGATTGGAGAAACAGAATACACGCTAAGAGTCCGACCAGAGTTCGGATTGAGCTTCTTCTTCTTGCTGTCTCCTCTTCATCTCGTTCTGATACCTCCGTATCTCCTCAGTCCTCCTCTCCTGCACCGAGCAAAGAACAAGAATGACCAGGCAAACAGTGTCTGTGTCGAGAGAGAGAGAGAGAGAGAGAGAGGGAGAGAGAGTGTGTGTGTGTGAGAGGAGTTGCCTTATAGCCCATTTCGACCCGATGCATCACGTAGAAACCGAGGACTCCGCCGAGAATGGTACCCGTCACAATCCTTATGTAAGCCCACCGCTGTGAAACCATTTCTGCGCTCGCCGTCGCCGCTATCCGAAGGGGTCTCTCGATCAATGTCGAGCCTCCTGCTCCGATGTTGGAACTCAGGGTCAAATCAATATGATTCACTTTTTTGATACATAAGACTTTGAGATTTGCATACATAAGACATACTTAGAGTTATGTACATCTGTAATTTGCAAATAGGTTACAGGAAGAATATTTGGAGGTTATAACCGCGTTATACGCCCAGTAATGAACTCAGGGTCAAATCAATATGATTCACTTTTTTGGTACACAGGACTTTGAGATTTGCTTACATAAGACATACGCAGAGTTGTGTACATCTGTAATCTGTAAATAGGTTACAGGAAGAATATTTAGAGGTTATAACCGCGTTATACGCCCAGTAACTTACTTGTACATGAAAACAGAAGCATGAAACTTAGTAGAAGGTACAAGTAGGTTACAGGGAGGTTACAAGGGATATAACGCGGTTATAACCTCCCAATATTTTCTTTGTAACCTAATTGCAGGTTACAGACGTACGCAACTCTGCGTACGTCTTATGTACGCAATTTTTTTCCCATTTGAAGAGCGCATATTTGTTGCTCTGTTATAAAAATATCTCGTTATATTACATGAATATTTTATCAATATTATTTGTAAAAAATGAAGTGTTATTTCAGTATTATGTGTTGTTATTCGATTGTTTTGCAGTGTTGGAATATTCTCATGTGTTAGCTGATTTGAAGTTGTGTTATTCGGCATATTTCTCGTGTTATTTCAATTTCCATTATGTTAATTGGAATAACAAAGCCCCAAATCAATTAATGTGGAATAATATTCCAATAACACTTCATTTTCCACAAATAATGTTGATGGAATATTCATATAACATAGTGGAATATTACTATAACACTAATCTGAACGTAGCTCTACGTTTGAAGTCCTAATGTAATATTTTTTCCCATTTGAACGATTGCGCACTTTTTTATGTAGAAGAAGATTTTCTGCATTAAAATTTGAATCAAATCACTATCAAATTGTACACATACTTTTACAAACATGACAACATCTTAAAGAATGAAATTCTAAGCAATATGATGAACCGTAGAGACTGACAATTTGGTGGTCCATTTAAAAAGCTGAATTTTGGTTCAAATTTTTTTTTAGTTTTATTAAATTAGATTTATAATTTAAATTAGTTAATTTTAATTTTAGTTGAAGTGAAAATTATATTTCTATTTGAATTAAAGTTAATTTTAATTTTAGGCGCAGACCCGATCAAACAAAAGCTTAATCCGGCCACCTAGTGACACTATATGGAATTGGATATGAGTCACCCCAAAAAATAAGGGCAACAATCTTGGAAAAATTATTACGTACGTTCATCGTACGCAAAAATGCATACGATGAACTAATCAAAATACTCCTTCTGCCAAAAGTGTATGTCAGTGGACCCCAATTTTAAATTTTTTTAAGAAAAAAAAATTTTTCATTGGACAATGGGCGCAACTTGTGTCCACTGTCCACACAGATAATGGCTCACAATCTTAGGTACATTTAATTTGTATGGTTAGGAATCTAATCAAAATTTGCAATTTAAATTAAGGTTCACATGAATATGATTCACTTTACAATTAGAGGGATATATATAATTCTTATGTGTTCACATAGCTCCCAAAAATTTCAGTATTTACTTAACTAACACTCAAATTCTTATATCAAATAAAAAATAGCACCAAAACTAATATTTGTAAAGTGAAATTTATAGTTTTTTTGCATAGATTTCATAAGATTATGAAACTAAAGATTTATATAAAAATCAAATTTTATGTGTTTGATTTGTAAATGCATTAACATTGTGTCGTATGTATATAAATTCCAATTTATAATTAAATTAGTGATATTTAAGGATTGAATCATATATTTTATTTAATATTAAAGGTTTTGTACTTAAGGAGTGTAAATAACAGCTAAGAGGAGCATACAATTAACCTTGGGGTGGACCATGTCATCTTAGTGTCCTAGAGCACAAATAATGTCTGCATTCCATGCTAAGGTGGGATGATATATCAAGTGTATGAGAGTCTAACAAAACAATTAAATATGTTTACAAATTTTAAGGACATTGAGATAGTTAATTTCAAAGGTTTTAAAGGTCATGTTAAAAGTTGAAAGGGTGAAATACCACTAAATAACTTTCTATCAACTAAATTAATATAAGAAAATCCAAGCCCATGCTAATATAAACTAAAGAAGGCTAGGATAGACAATTAGATTATCTAAGCTCAATGTGAAAAGATAAAGTCAAAAATTAAAAATTGTATAGAATGCTTGTGAATTAACAAGAAAAACATTGGATAAAAAGAATAATCCATTTTTGAATGAACTAGGAGAGGCTAGAATCTAAGGGTAAAAGAAATATTAGATAGTTTGGGATCAAGTAAACCAACCAAGATCATCTAAGATAATGTGAAAGAAGATATTAGCTCACATATGCCCAACGTAAATGAGACTAGAATCTAAAAATCAAGAGATACTCGATAACTAATAGGGATCAACTAGACTAATATATAGTTCCATTAGACTTCTAAGGATGAACTGAAGCAAATTAAGAGAAAAATCATCTACTCATGCTAAGAAAGGAAATAGGGCAGTTTTGATTATTAATATCAATAGAGATCACTTAAAGATCATTTAAAGATGAAAAATAATATCTCTAGGATCAAATAAAAAAGACAATGATGGGCTTTTGATCCACTAAAGATTAGCAAAAAAAGAGTTTATTTCTAGCTATAAAAGTATTAGATTATTCATGATCTACTAAGAAAATCTAGAGTACAACAATTTGTCCATATATGACCAATTCATGAATACTAGAATTAAGGTTTAAGGGATAGACTAGATGAGTTAGAATCAATTAAATTCATAAAGGGTTGGGTTACAAACCTACTTAAGACCAACTTACAAAAGATAGAAGTTCAACTTCAAAGGTCTATTAGATTAATTCTTGAGCCGCTAAGTTTAGTTTAAAAAAGAATATTAGACTACCCAAGATCAACGAAGAGATAATATGAGTCTAAGTTCAAAAATTCTAAAAGAAAATTCTAGGATACTCTAAACCCCAAACTTAAATAACGGCCTATAATATAATAAGAATCACTTAGAATAGACAAAATATTGGATATTAAAGGATCTATAAAAATATATTTAAAACTAACTGTGCCAACATTAGAATAAGCTACAAATCTACTTAAGATTAATCATGTTATACTAGAATTCTATGGATCAAATGCCTGGAATGATTCAAGCTGACTTTTGATTAAGTTAACCATACCTGTGAGGCAAGATAAGACACTTATGCACTATGTTAGTATTCTTTAGTTAAATCAATTTGTTTAGGTATGTTTAGTCAAGATCTATGGGTCACCATTTTAAGCAACATCTATAAGATGCTCTAAATACATTGAACTGCTTCAAAATAAGTATTTTCTAATCTTATCTTATTAATTAATCATTAAGATTTTTGTTGATTTAACCTAATTTATTAAAATGGAAATATTAAAAAAAATTAATGTTTTAGCCATCTTAAATTGTCAATGTATATTAATTAGATTATAATCAACCCCTAAATTTGATTTCATGTCTTCTAGAGTAAATTAAAATTATTTATGAGCATCCAAAGATTTAAAACAAAACTTAGTTATACATCTCCAATGCTATAATTCCTTCATCTCAGGAATGCTCTACATGAAAAGGTTACTTCTCTAGCATATAAGAAAAGAGTTTACATGATAATTTATTATCTAGCGATCAAAGTACTTATAAATTATGTTTTAAGATCGGTAGTTTATATAGAATGTATGCTAGAATTATAATTAGAATAAATGGTTTATCATTTACATCATTTACTTGCACTAGTTCTTTCTTTATGCATAAACGTCATTTATATCATAGCAAACAAAATGGATACTAATCTCCATGCTCGAAGAATAACAAAACCATAGAGTTTTTTTGGTTTGCACTGTATACTGATACTTGCACTTATTACAATAGATAGAAACAAATCTTTTATTTTTATTCCTTAATCAAAAATTAATGAACATAAGAGTTGCATCATTAGGAGTTTTAAGATCAAAAGAGATCACTTAAAAATGAAAAATAATATCTTTAGGATCAAATCAAATTGGTTATAATGGACTCTTAATCGATTAAATATCAAATAAAAAAAGTTGGGGTTTAACTAGAAAGGTGTTAGATTATTCATGGTCTATTATGATGTGTAGGATTGTCCTTTTTTAGGACTAATGAAGAAAATGAGGAGTTGATTGGATTGTCCTCATTGAGGAAAAATGAAGATCTAGTGGAGTTGATTTAAGTATAAACCATAGTATAAAAACATAATAACATTAACGATCAAAGCAATAGAAACTTTTTGTGTGACTTTTTTACATTTTTTTATTAAAAAATAATTTGCAAAATTTAAAAAAATGTTGTATTTTTAGCTAAGAAAATTGTTACACTTTGACATGAGTCGATCTTGTGAGATTTCACTAAAAAAATGTTGTATTTTTTACCTTGCATTTACCTTTTATTTTTACTGATTTTATGAAATATTTACACTTGTGAAAGGTTTTGTTGATGTTGTGCAAATTACAAGAGTTGAATATGAACATTTTGAAACGAAAAAAAATAAATGTAATAATAGCTTAAAGCGGCGTGACCACACCTGGAAGAGGTGTGTCCACATCAAGGAATCAGCACCACTGGTATGACCATGCCACAATCTGGCCTGATCATACCATAATTGCAAAGAAACGGCATGACCATGTCGGGATCAGGTGTAACCGCATGTCGGCACTATTTTTGGTGTGGGGTTTGCCCGTAAGAAGTTGTCGGTCATCGGAATTGAAATCCCGTTGCCTGCTTCGGAAGGATGTTTAAAAAAATTTAGTTTTGAAAAAGCTGAAGTCAAACTGACCCCATAATTTTCATAGTTTAGATGAAAGAGCACTTTATCTCAAATCATGTATCTATCCCGAAGGATGAACGCAAGAATTGAGAGTGAGGCTCGATCAAATAAACTAAAGAAAGTTATGACATCTGTTTGGTCTGCGAAACCA